AAGGAGGTGGAGTAAAAACCAGGTGAATATACATCAATAATTAAAGATATGCAGATGATATATCATATTACTGGCAGAAAGCAGCAATGAGTTGAAATGACTCCTAATTAAAGAATGAAAGAAGGAAGTGCAAATGCAGGACTACAGCTAAACAGTAAAAAAATAAAAATCATGACTACACAAGTTAAAGATTTACACAGAGTAAAAGGCAACAAAGATTAAAAAGAAGTTGTGAAAGATTTTGCATGCTATGGTCCAGTCATCAATTCAAATGGAGACTGCAGCCAAGAAATTAGAAGACAGAGATTTGGAAGGGCAACAATGAAGGAACCCTAAAAGATTACCAAATGCAATGAAGTTTTAGTGGAGTCCATGGCCAAGATCATCAACAGTATTGTATTCCTGATCACCGAGATGGAAAATGTAAAAAGTTAACAGGATGAAAAGTGATGCATTCAAAAAACGGTGCTTGAGGAGAGGTCTCCAAATACCCTGGATCAATAAAATGATGCACCTGGGGTCCTAGATCAAATCAAGCCAGAACTTTCCCTGGAAGCAAAAATGATAAAACTGAAAGTGTTGTACTTCTGCCACATCTTGAGAAGACAAGAGTTACTGGAGAAGAAAATAATGTTAGGGAAAATTGAAGGCAGAAGAAGAAAAGGAAAACCAGATATGAGATAAACGGATTCCATAAACATTCATAAAAACATAGAAACAGTCAGAAGGGGCTTCCCAGCTCCAGCCGGCTCCATTCATGACATGCCAACCATGTGCATGTCCAGCCTATCCTTAAACACCCTCACCGATGGGGCTTCAACCACCTCACGTGGAAGCCCATTCCATACCCTAGGGGTCCTAACCATCAGGAAGTAGTTCCTGAATCCACCTTGAATCTTAGTTTCCTGAGCTCTGCTCCACTGGAATGCATCCTGCCCTCATCCGGAGAAAAAAGGTCATGACCCACCTCTGTGTAACACTCCCTCATGCTGCTAACAGGTCCCCTCTGAGTCTTTTCAAGGCTGAAAAGACGCAGTTCCCTCAGTCTCTCCTCGTATGGCTTACCCTGCAAACCAGCCACCATCCTTGCGGTCCATCGCTGCATCAATTCCAACTTTGCTAGATCCCTCTTGATTTAATGAGGGGGCCAGAACTGAACACAATACTCCAGCCATGAGAGCACCAGAGCCATATAGAGTGGCAGTAATACCTCTCTTGATCTAGAAGTTATGCTTCTGGCTATGCATCCAAGGGTGGCATTCGCCCTCTTGACTGCTGTGTCACACTGCTGACTCATGTTTCACCTGCAGTTGACCAGCACCCCGAGATCCTTTTCACAAGTGATGTTCTCTATCCACTTGTTCCCTAACCTGTACTTATGACATCAATTCCTATGCCCCAAGTGCAAGACATTCATTCAAAGGGTTCCCATAAGTTAGAGACAACTTTGACAGAATGTAACAACAAACTTCCATCAACTTCCAGCATAAAAATGTTTTAATAAATAAATAAATAAATTTATCTAGCCTGTTTTTAAAGCTATCTAAGGAAGCAATCACTATTATATCACATGGACGCTTTCTTTAATAATAATGCACTATATGTAGATATAGGGATGCAGGTGGCGCAGTGGTTTAAACAGCTGTGCTGCTGGGCTGGTTGATCGAAAGGTTGCCGGTTCGAATCTGCACAATGGGGTGAGTTCCCATTGCTCCGTCCCAGCTCCTGTCAACCTTGCAGTTCGAAAGCATGCAAATGCAAGTAGATAAAAAGGTACCACTTCGGTGGGAAGGTAACAGCGTTCCGTGCGCCTTGGGCACTAGTCATGCCAGCCACATGACCACAGAGACTGTCTGCAGACAAATGCTGGCTCTCTTGGCTAGGAAACGGACATGAGCACCACCCCCTAGAGTCAGGCATGACAGGACTTTAATGTCAAGGGGAAACCTTAACCTTTACCTTTTTATGCTACCTAAAAACGTGGCTAGCTCACTGATCCAAGTCCAATACAGAATCACGTGAGAAATCCTGCAAGGATTGCTAACTGTTCTACAACAAAAATCACTAAGCACAAGCAAGATTTGTGGAGCAAACAATTTATGATGTCACCCTTATCACCGTGCCTGTTTTATGAACTTAGTAACAGTGACAGCCACATTCCTTCAGTACCCTTTTTTCTTTCTTCTTTTTATTGTGCATGACAGAACAAAGACAGAAAGTACTGCCATGATGTGTGTTTGAGATGTTGCATAGCCTACTCAGTTTGGCTCAGTGTCATTACCCAAATTAGGATGCATATTCTGTCTTGTCTCAGATGGGTAAAAAAGGAGAGAAAGTGGTAGCAAATAGAAACAAGGATGAGCAAAGCTACTACTGTTAAGAATAGTTACCATTGTTAAAACAAGGTGACAAAATTGGTGTCTGCTTTTCAGTCCAGTCTCCCTACTTACTTCCATCCATTGAGGAAAGTCTTCCTCTCTCCTGCCAGCTCTTCAGTTGCAGATCCATAGAAGGACCTGTTCATTTATCGCATGGTAACTTAGTTCACTACCTTCAAATGCCACTATACAAATTCAATCTTTCTGGCAAATTCCGCATTTCCATTAGAACAGTAATTTCACACTTGAGTTGTTTAATATTGTGCATGAAATTTTTCAGAAATTCAAAATCCAATATTCTTTTAAAAGTATATTTACTTATTTTATAAATTATGCTTTTTATGTGTACATGGAATCACTGGGTAAGGTTGGGCTACAGTATCAAGCCATTAACTGATAAATATGATACCTAATCATATTTCACATTTCCATCAACTAATGCCAGGTAGGACGTGAATACTCAAGGTTGATTTAAATTTAAGAACAAGCCATCATGGCTTAACATCCTCATAGGGCTTGCTGGTGCAGCACCAGTTGTTATTCTGAAAATGCAAGCTATGGTGAGTGCACACTGTGGCTTGTTCTTACATGCAAACTTGGCCACAGTAGGTTGTTGAGATGGTTAACAAACCTATCAGACGTTTAGGTTACCTCTATTGTCCTTTTAAATCAGATTAATTTGATAAATACCAGAAACAGGGCTTTTTCTGTCATGATATGGACTCTCTTCCCTGGGGAAATCTGACAAGTCCTCTCTTTACATTTCTAAGCACACAGTGAAAACACTTCAAATACATGTTATTATTAATTGTTTAAAAAATTAAAATGTGTATGCTGACTGGCATTATAAATTCCTTTTGTTACAATGTTTGCATTATATTTATTATTATTGTTTTTGTGCTACTAATATTTTATAGGCTTTATATTTGTGTAGATACTTTGTGAGAAGATTTTGTTAAAGTCAGGATACATTGATAAGAAATAAGTAGTTATCACTTAAATATTAAAAAGAATTCTGAAAGTACATTAAAATATTCCTTGCAAATATCATAAATATGTCTTGTAAATATAACTATGCCAGTTTAAAACCAACTTGAAACTTTCATTTAGCAAAATTCTCAACATAACAGGTGGGATCCAAACATCTCTTAAGCCTCCTACATGCACTTCAAAGTTTCCTAGGCTACAGCTTCTATCACTGCATTGGAGGCCCCTCTAAACACAAAAGCTGCAAAAAGCTTAACAGGACAATCTGCAAAAAACTAAAATACAATAGTTCTTAAATATTGTCCGATGAATAGTTATATTAACTGAAATGTGCAAACTATCGTATAAATTTTGCATGCCCTCTTCCTAAATTACGCAAAATTATTCAGTCCCTCAGGCTGCAATCCTTTCTGTACTTTTGAGAATTCAATTTACACAATGAATTTCACAGTAAATGTATTAAATGCTTGCTAGCTTCCTTTACATGCAAAGATTATCAGACAATATAATCTTCAGTTTCTAAGAATGCAATTCTATGCATGTTTAGCCAGAAAAACAAAAAAAATCCTACAACTCTGGCTGGGGAATGCTGGGATTGTGGGATCCCCCCACCCCCGCATCTAAACATGCATAGGATTGTACTATAGTTACTGCTTACTGCTCCTTTCAATAATGGGAAAATAAAAAGTCAAAGGGTCTACAAGTTATCTCGCATTTGTTCACAAGGAATCTACATACACATGTACCAACATTTCCTAATTGATGTGCATTTAAAAACTTCCACCCAATCACAATTCTTGTTGCTGAGATGCAAAATATTTAAAGCCATAAATCATGCTGTTATATAAACCAAGTTAACACTAAAGAGAGCAAATGCCCTTGGCATGCATCTTTAGCAACATAACATGTATTTGAAGGAATTATAGCAAGGCAGACTGCCGTTGTAAACTCATCATAGGCATATTCAGAGAACTAAAAAGTTAAAATTGAAATGGGGTCAAGGATGTAAAAGATAACTGAATACTTCGGTCTCTTCGTTTACTATTCTTCTCTTCCTCAAAACAAAAAGTCTAACAATCAAACGTGTTGGGGTAGTCAATCAAAGCTTGGGTGAAATGGACCCCTTCTGTTCACAACAGTTGTTACCGGGCTTTGTAAAGCAAACCAGCAGTATAGACGGATCCTTTACCAGGCTGCCACCTCTGCATTTTATTGGGAAGGGGAGAGAAAGACAATGACTCGCTCCAAATGTGCCTTTGGAGAATGAAACATCGAAATAAACCCCTTTTACAGGGTTTAGATGCCCGATACACGCACACTGTCTCACCTCCAACAACAAAACACAAAAACCCACCCCTACAGCAGGAAGTTACTGTAAACTTTCCCGGAGTAGAGAGGAAAGAACTGGGAGGGGGTGGGAAGAGACCCCCTCACCCCATCATGACAAGCTACCTATGCCGGATCCTACGAGAGAAGTCGAGGGAGGGCCACCCCGCCGGGGGAGAGCGGAGACGGGAGCTCGAGGGGGGCATGCGGGGCCTAGCGCGCTCCAGGCGCGGCCGCCTCCGCGGGGAAGTGGGAGGAAGTGCGAAGACGCGCGGAGGGGGAGAAGCGCCCGGGACTCTCCCGCCTCACCTGCTTCGTGAGGGCTGCTCCCGGGGAGAACGCCGAGCCCCCGTGCCCTCTGCGGCGCTTCCCCTCCTCCTACCGGGCAGCGGGCGAGAGGGCGCTTCCGTCTCAGCGCGGGAGGAGCTGACCGGGCAGAGGAGAGCGCGGCAGTGGCGTGGCTGTATGTGGCGGCGGGGAGCCCCCCTCGCGGCTCCCCCGCGTAGCTCTGCCTGGCGCGTTCAGTCCCGCCACGGCCGCCCCATAAGCGCCGGCTAGGGTTCCCCGGGCGAAGAGCGGGCGCCGCCGCTTCCAGAGGCTCTGTCAGCAGCCCAGGCCGAGGGGAGAGGGAGGAGTCGGGAAGCAGGGGTGTTCGCCCTTCCACACGCACAAGGAGGCGGAGGACGAGGAGGCGCCGGCACCGGGTCCCCCTCAGTGGAGCCCGAGTTCACCGTCCCGACCTAACATGGCGGCTTCTGGAGACCCGAGAAGCAGTCGGCGGAGGGGGCTGCAGCAGCTGTTGCTGAGGAGAAACTCCGGCTCTCGCGACGCGACGGGGAAGGCGACTACCTTGGTTGCTTCTCTGCCGGCCCGCAAGGACCGATAGCGCCCCCTCTGCCGCTTTCCCTGTCGCATTCCTTCGATGGAAGCCGGGAAGCCGGGATCTCCCTCTGCTGGGTGTGGAAGCCTTAGACTTTGGGGGGCCGGAAGTGTAAGGGGGCAGCTCAGTGGGATGCCCATAAGGGTCAGCCCTATTGAACTCAATGGGGCGTACTGCTCAGAAGACACACTTAGGGGCTGAACTCTTAGAAGATGGGTTAGTAGAGCTCGGGAAGAACAAATTAAGAACGGCTATTGTTATTAATAAAATCCTGAGGTTGAAAAGGGATCCTGCAAGGCTGCTTTGGCAAGTTCACTTAACATCCACACTGTTAACATTAAACTTTTAGTGCAGAGCGCACTGGCATTCATCCTCACTGGCACCTTGTCCAATGTGTTAAATCCTTATGTCCACAAAGTGAGAACGGACACTGAGGAAGGAAATCTTGTCCACTGACAAGTCTCGAATGCAGTTAAGTTTGGAGACAGGTTTCCTTCAGTAAGTTGCTTCTGTCGAAAAGGCTTAGAATCGTGGTGTAGATCATTCATTAGAGTTCATGGGGTTTAATTTCCAGGGTCATGCTGGATCTGAAAGATTTTCTACTTAATTGAATTAAAATAGTTAAGTAGATGAAAATATTTTAAATGCACCTTTAATATAACAACCAAAGCCACTGCTCCAGTTCAGTTCTGGCAAGAAAGAATTACTACTGGAAAAGAATTGGAATACTCTCCAATAATAATTACTTTTGTGGCTTGCAAAGCCTTTTGAGAGTTGGCCAATAGTTGAGAAAAGTGCCCTTCCTTCCTATCAAAAGTCAATATTGCAGAAAATGTTTGTACTAATTTTTTTTTGTCAAACATTACAGCAGTACATAAATAAACCATTGATTGCCAGCTGTCTGTCAGTATAATGCTGCTGCATCTAAGAGTGTTTCCATATGAGGCTTTTGCTATGCTTCATTCACACGTTTTTATGGATTCCAACTTTCTCTTGTGATTTTTCCATTGCTGCTTCTGCCTATTTTAGTAACATAAAATTCATTAAGGAGGAAATGATGGAATATATGTGCAATGTCTTTTAACTACTAGTGCTAGGAGCTGTTCTGGAAGCACTCTGATAGTACTGCAATCCTAAATGGAACAATTTCCAAATATGTTCAAAGGCCTACTCTCAAGTTCTGAAGTTCAATACTTGACTTATTCTTAGGCTGATGCTGCTAACATAAACATGATTCCGAATTCTCCATAGGCTGAACAACTCTATGAACTCTGGAGTTCAGAAAAGTGACAAATCACTTTCAGGAATGCTAGTGCTATAGGGTTTGATTTTGAAGGTCACTTGCAGCTCAGCTTTTATCTGGTAAGCCATGATTGAAGTACTGGGACTTTGGGAAAAGCATACAACAAAATGCAGAACAAAATGAATCTGTTGATAAGTAGATTATCTCCCATCATTATTTCAAAATTTCATCATGTTTGTGAAATTTAAACTAATTATAGTAAGACTTAATTCTCAGACACTAAATTTTTTAAAGTTTGCAAAAATACAAAGTACTTGTGCCACACTCCACAACATTAAAACTGGCAACAAAAGAGCAGTTAAAGGACTTTCATATCAGACTTAATGGAATGGACTTTGATCATACAGTTAGCAATTACCTCATGTGTTGGGATAGCATTGTTTGCAATAGTCAAAGGGCTAAACTCAAGCTTGATATTAAATACACCTGCCATTAAATAGAAATGGGTTAGAAGTATCTCAAAGCATTCTGAATGTTTATGTTAATGTGAAAGTACTTCTTTAATATTAATATTTAAAAGAAGCCCTGTTGAATCTTGACTATTATCCAGTTTCCCACAGTGACCAACAAGATAGCCATGGAAAATATGTTCCATTTGGGGATCTTCTTGAATAGGTGCCAACTGCATTGGTAGGTGTATGTAGCTCAGTGGAGTTCTATGAGAAGAGTATCACTTGTACAGGGTGGTTCTGTTTGCATTTGGCAATTCCATTTCTCTTCCAGTAGCCCTCATGCTCATTCCCATATTATTTATGAAGGGCCCTAACCCACTTAAAAATCCTAGAATACAAACCAAAGTCTTGTGGCACCTTAAGAGACCAACAGATTTGTTATGACATAAACTTTCATGGAGCCAGTCCCAATACATCAGATGTATAAAGTGTCATCTCCCAGTTGAGAAGGTGTATATGTATGTATATTCAATAAACACATGCACAGGTATAGATAAAATAAGGAAATTGTAACAATGGATTCAAATTGCCAGGAAATGCAAGAGGTAAAGTATGTGATAAACTGAAATTATATTCAATTCTCAATGTACAAAAGAAGCACAGTGGCCATTTATAGCACCAGTCAATGTCAGCAAGCTTACCTGAAAGCCACCAGCCTTTGACAAAAACTGCAAAGAAGAACTTCCAACATGAAATGGTTATACTTCAGGATTAATAAAGATACTTAAACATGAGAATTAACCAATACCCCAAGGATAGTCTTGTAGTTGTCTACCATCTATATTTGTGTATGTCAAGCAACAGTGTAAGCAGAAGCTATCTATAAAATGTTTTTGAAAATGTGCTGTACTCCTATAGTAAATTATATAAGCTATAATTTTGGAGGTATAAAACAACTTGCATATAAATTACATAAAAGTTTGAGGTGGCAGTAAAATAAGTATATGTGAAAGGAAAGAAGACAAGTGACACAATATCATAAGGATTTTTTCAGGAAAGCATGCAATAACCTGGCGGTCAACATAATTTCATGGAAAACATATTTAACAAACATAGTACAGTCACTCACTACTCTTCATATACAGAAACATAATTGTTTTGAGCAAATCTGCAATATTTTACCAGAAAACCACTCCTTCCCTCTATGAAAAGCAAAGGAATCCATAGGAAAGGAAACAGTTATAGCAATTAAGGCAGACTTGCTGCCTTTGTGATATCAGCAGATGCAGACTAATCTTTCTTTGTCACAGTTATTTTCATCAACAGAAAGCCCTAGTACTGACCAGCAAACATTTGTATCCTGTGTTGGGAATTCACAAAGTTACATAGCAACAAAATACCTCCATAGACTCTATAAAGGGTAAATTATCACTATACATGGTAAGTGTGGAAGAGAAAGAAAAAAAAGGTATATAAAACAAGCAAAAACAAAGCAACTGCATGACCACACATTTGTATAATTAGGAAACATGAACAAAGAAAAAACCCCTCATTATTTTACAAGGATTTTGTCATTCTTTAATAATATTTCCATATTCATTCCCATTTTTTGGTGTTCATCTTGCAAGTGCCAAGGTTGATGGCACATCTTGACAACAAAAGCAATATAGCAAGTTACAGGCTAGAACACTGGTGAAAACTTTGCAAAATAAATAAAAATAAAAATAAATCAGTCTGGAGGCAAAACATTCTAATTAAGACTGTATAACCATTCAAATATTACACTGTTTATTATGTATCTCAGCCAATGATTCCAACACAGCATAATTTCATTGCCACTCTGTATATTTATTTATGGAGACCCACTGAACTCTCAGAGTCATTCTAAGGATGCCTATACAGAGTCACTTTTAGAGCCTTGTTTGCCATATCAGTGAAGAATCAATGCACTATGCATTTCTAAAATATTTCATAGCAACTCTTCTATTAATGCACACCTGAAGATACAGACTGACCATTCTTTCCTTAAGTGTACGCAGCATCTGTTTCAGAATGTTTTTAGTTGCTCTACACGCAACAGAGAAAGCATATGCCTCGGTGAACATTTCTTTTCCATTTTGATTCTTGGAAAAAGCTTGTTTAAAAAATGAAAAACCAACTGTTTTCAATCAAGTGACACAAATTTCTTTACTATTGAAAAGCTTTTGCAAACTTCATATTTACAATATGAGACCTTTGCTGTTCATATTTGTGCACAACAGTTACAGCAGTCAAACCGGATTACATTATATAAAGCAAACTGTATTGCTGTTTGCTAATCTTTATCTCTTTATATCCTGTCTCTATTTGTTGGAGCACAAGTGTTCTTACGGATACTTAAAATAACCACTTCCTTGTTCATCTGTTCCATGGGCAGTGGTTTCTATAACAAGTATCTCATACCTTGATTATTACCAAGGCATTCAATCTAATGTCAACCTGGAATATTTTTTATTTGAAAAATGTGTTTTCAAACATTTTCAAACATTTGATATTGTACAGTGATTTTATTCATATTATGTGCCTTGTAAAACAAGCATAATGTTACAATTTGCCAGAAACAAACCTTCATCACCAATAAAAATATATAATTGAAAAAGGCATTTATTCAATTTGCATGTTAATGTTGAGCTTTGACATTTAACATATGTGAATAATTATAATTAATCGCAGACACTAGTAAAACCAATGCAGTAATTTGGAGTAAGGAAATTGATAGGAGGGGTTATCCCCTTTTTCTTCAAAATAAGAAATAAAGGAAGTCCTTTAGGATGCGATCAAATACATGCTTTGACAGAAATAAGTCTTACACATCACAGCATTTCCCAGCCAGAGTTGTAAGACTTTCATCTGTCTAAGCACATATTAGATCACATTCTTTCTGAATTTCTTATTTTAGCTCTTTCAGCAGATATATTGAGTACCTTTATAATTAAACAATTAAGGTGTTTGTTTACATTTACTTTTCTGGGGCTATTATTATATGGAATGTGGTAACAAATCTTATCAAGGCACCTCCAGAGCACCATTTCTACTAATGTAAACTTTTTGTCCTCAATGTATTTATGCTGGAAAGTAATGAATCATCACAGCTCCCTAACATATGTTGTATACACC